GGAGTGGGCGGGCTGTGGGAGTGCAGGGGTGCTGACCCCAGCCCCAGCACCGCAGGGCTGGAATGATCTGGCCCCCTCTGCCCCCCGCAGTGGGCAGCATCCTTCCCCACCCCAGTGGGAAAACAGAGGGATCCTTCCCAGCTGCCTGGAGAGCCCCCGCGCTGCTCTCTGGTGCACGGGCGCTGGGGCAAGGCTCTGCTCAAACACGGGGGAATTCGCCCACCCAGCCCCATCCTCACCTTTCCTGGCACTCCGCTCTCCCCAGGAGGAGGGGACTTGTGCTGCCATGCAATGGCATCCCCATTGCTCAACCATTGCCCCTGCTCTGCAAACGTCTCCACAGCTGGTTACTCCCTTCCTCCCCATTTTTAAAGGAACTATTTAAAAACCTGAAGCCCAGCCTGGGGCTGTGGGTGGGAGCATGGACCACCTGGGCTTTCTTTACTCCCTTCAGGCCATCACCGGAGGAAGCTCTGCAGTGGCGCGATTCCCTGGAGAAGCTCCTGCAAAACCCCTGTAAGTTCACATCCTTCTGTTGTCACGTCCCCCCCTCCACGTTCCCCCTGGTGGGGGCTCAGCCCCCCGGGGAGCCCCGGTGCTCAGCGAGGGCTCGGCCCCTCTGCAGACGGGCTTGCCAGCTTCCACAGCTTCCTGCGCTCTGAGTTCAGCGAGGAGAATGCAGAGTTTTGGGTGGCCTGCGAGGACTACAAGAAAACCAAGTCCCCTCTGAAGATGGCGGAGAAGGCCAAGAAGATCTATGAGGAGTTCATCCAGACCGAGGCACCCAAAGAGGTCAGTGGCCACGGGGCAGGAGATGGTGCCAGGAGGGATAGGCTGCTGCCCTGGTGGCCTCCATCCCACAGGAGAGCGATGGCTGCAGGGCACCTCCGACCACAGCCGAGGGGCTCGGAGGGCTGTACCCTCGGCAAGGGGCAGCCCCATCCCCACGTGCTGCACTCCCACCCCTCACAGCCCCAGTGCCCCTGTTTGCATGCTCAGGCTGTGCTGGGTGGCCTCCTGCCACAGGCACCTCCGGCACATCCCTGTCCCCCTCTCCCCACAGAGAGCTTACATTAGTCATAAGGGCTACCAACATACAGCAATCCTCCTCCCCAAGTTAGCTTTGCTGCAGAATAGACCTCATCCTTACAGGTTTGCCACCAGTAATTCCCCCCCAAGAAGTGAACCTGCTTCAGTCCCTCCCCATAACCTTTCATGGTTGTTGGTAGGACAGAGCAGGCGAGGGGAGATGCCACCACCCACCCCTCGCAATGGCAGGGTCCCCATCCCTCTTACACTCCATCACAGGTGAACATCGACCACTTCACCAAGGCTGTGACCATGAAGAACCTGGTGGAGCCATCACCAAGCAGCTTTGACATGGCCCAGAAGAGGATCTTTGCCCTGATGGAGAAAGACTCCCTGCCCAGATTTGTGCGGTCAGAGTTTTATCAGGAGTTAATCAAGTAGCAATGCGGCAGGGCTGTGCAAGGCATTCTCCGCGGGCCGTCCCACTGCTTCCCTCTGAACACCTGCCCCTTCTCCTGCAGCCGCTTTGCTTTCTTGATACCACCCTAGAAGAGCACCCAGGGGCGTTGCTAAACATCTCCCCCCGTGCTCTGGATTGCCAGATGTCCTGATGCTTCCTCTCTTACAGTCTCTTTCCTCTCCCACAAAAGACCAATTAGCAGAAACCCTTGGTGATCCTCACTGGGTTTGGGACCCAGAAGGGCGGTGGAGCAGCCCCAGCCCCACAGTGACCGGGAGCCACTCGGGCAGCCAGCGCGTCCCTGGCGCTGGGGGCCTTGGCTTTAGTCGGCAGCTCTGAGGCTCCGGCTCTGCCTTCTTAGGACTTCCCTTAGGACATGACGATTTTTCTCCCAGTTTTGCCCATGTCACTGGTTTGGCCCAGGCTCGCTCCCTGCTCCCACCTTCCCAGGGCGTTGCTGAGGGTGCAGAGGCGACCCTACGGGTGCTCCC